CACTTCATCGTCGATCTTTGGCAATAAGTATTTTCTCTTGTTGATGATTATAGTTGTTGGATGTGAGTGTACGTGCTCAGAGAAAAATGAGAGGCATTACGTTCGTTCAAGAAGTTCAAAAGACCCGTTGAAAATAGGTCTATCACAAACTAAAAACCTTGCGCATCAACCAAGGTGAGGAATTCTTAAACCATAACTTCTCCAAATTTTGCGAAGAGGAAGTACCAAGCATCAACTCACTTTACTATACAATCCACAATAAAACGGTGTGGTCGAGCGAAGAAGTCGTACCATATTGAACACTACAAGAAGCTTACTCGAGAGTATGCAAGTCTCGATAATTTCCTGGGGCGAGGTAATAGGAGATGCAATCCATCTTCTAAACTGTTTACCAACGAAGGCGTTGGACACTCACACCCCGTACAAAACATGGATCGGTAAGACACCTCACTTCAAGAATATTAAAATCTTTGCTTGTGCAGCACATGTTAAGACTCTGCAAAGCCATATATCAAAATGCTTGATGACAGAAGCCAAAAGATGGTATATTTTCGTCACATTGGAATCGGGAGTTATAGCCGTTTAGTTTTTTGGTTTCCTACTCTCGATTTTCATCCAAATTCGATAGAAATTCTCCACCATTTTTGTTCAAACTTGTTTCTAAGCCATCTAAACAAGATTACCCACAAGTTCTACAAAGGAACCGAGCGCTGAATGAGCCTAGAACCCATTCCCAGTACGTATGACCATTGAAGAAGTTCAAAGAAAGATCGAAAATCTAATCCGAGCATACACACAAATTCATCGAGCAAGACCAATCCCATTCGATTTTTTTCACCTTCAAGAACATTCTTGTTGTAGACCACGAAGAGAATTAACCTTAAGAACGTTTGTAATCGAAGAAAGTCAATTTTCGGTTCAAATTGGGGGTAAGTATCGAATTCCTATCTACGGTCTATTTTTCTTCAAATTGAACATTCCTTTAGTTTACGAGGATTGAGATGAGTAATTTTGATAAGAAATCGAAAGTCAAAACGTCGTAGATCAAGCTGTCAAAGAAAGTTTAATTTGGTGTTTTCTGGTTATTTGCTAACCTAAGAAAATTTCTCTAAATTAAAGTCACACACTTAAAGACTTTCCTCCAAACCAATTCAATTAGCTAGAGGGAATAATAAAGAAGTGATTCCCGGAAAACCTTTAGAAATGGCTAGCCAATAAGCTTTTTATACGTTGAGCTCGGGTGAGGAAATCAATTATTGATGAACTTTGGAGGAGAATAACTTAACGTACAATCCATGGGAAGGTAAGACATCAATCCCTAAGTCTTCCCTGTGACTCAGTTTTTAAGTTTCTTGAAGAAATCGAGGGGGAGAAGTGTATTGAACGGAGCTGGAGAGGTAAGGTTTTAAACTGTGTGACTCTTTCGTAACAACAAGCAAAGTGGCAAATCCTTGAGTGATACCAATCCGGTCATGCAACGACCAAAATAGACAATCCATGAAGTGATCGAGGAGGACGTTGCATCATCCAACACACCAAAGAAAACCAAGCTAAGGAATAGGCAAGACAAATGCAATGATTTTGACATAATTATAAAAAATTGGCTTTTTCAAGGCTAAGGTAGGGCCTTGAGCATTAACCTCTAAAGCTTAAGTTAGAGATAATTTGGGTATTTAGTTTTAGAATTAAATCCATCTATATGAAACATGAAAGCTCACAAAATTTTGTGTCAATAGAAGACTATACGATGCTTTATGACAGCGTATGATTGTTTGCCTAAAGCATGTTCACACTTGTCAGATTTGAAATGGTTCAAAATGCACCTTAAAGGGAAGAATGATGTAAACTCTCCACCACCCCCAAGCCCTGTTTCCTAATTGAGCTAACCTGCGGCATATGCATGTGTCACAATGAAGGTGAACGTTGCTAGACGTGTGCTTCGTGTGACTTGCATTGAAGATGTTGTTTGAAGAATAGTATGTGAAACGCCCTATTTTCTTAGCCAAAATAGTGGCGTTACACAGACCGGCTTTAATCTCATAGGCTAAAGTTCATAATAAATAATTTTAAAATAAAATCGTTGACTTATATATTGAATTTAACACAATAAATTAAACATAACATGTTTTTTAATATAAAAAAAAAATCATTTAAAACACTTACCAACTACTAAATAAAATTCAATGGGTTCTATTGCTATATCATGCCCTATTCTGACTTCCATGATATTTCTAGCATTAACCATCATCCGAGCGTGGAGATTTACCTTTACGTGGAAAGTATAAGGGTAGCACGTGGCTTGAGTATTTTACTAAATACTTAGTAAATCATCCGACGGTTCGGTTCAGCAATGCAATCACACACATAACATGATTGAGACCTATCTTAAAACCGTCACATGTGCTTAGACTATTTTCAGTTTCGAGCAAAGTGGGCTCATATACGTACCCCTCGGCCTAACTTGTTCAGGCTTAATGGGTTACACGTCGCCAAATGCCACAGAAAAGGAAAGACCCCCATGATATCATGTGAAACATGTATATCGAAGGTACACACCCGTATTAACATAACATAACGGGGAAGTATCCCGATGCACATGACACACATACATGCATGAGATGCCCATGACTTACATTTAAAACATAGTATTAACGTTATTCCTTTTCTCATTTCGTCCATGATATATTCCGTACATGCACTATGTATACCTAGTAAACATCACATAGTCCATTACATTATTTTTCAATTCCATTCTTTCTTAGCATTTCATTTTATTCATAACATGATGTAATTGACATGACATTGTATACATAACAAAATGTCATATTTCAATGCATAAAGCACACAAGCATAACATAAAAAATATTATGGTGAATGTTGGGGCCACAAGGTTACTTACCTAATCCGCTTAAGCGGTTGTCACTAATTTACTTACCTGATTCTTTAAAGTAAAATTCAAGTCAACCTAGGTGAGCCCATGTCATCATATTCATGTTTGAATTTATGAAGAATTATTTATCTAATTTACAATGATCCATGTGTTAGATTTCATGCGAACTAATGCACCTTTGCAGCAGTAAAGTTTTGGAATGTTTATATATGTTTTTTATAATATTATTTTCATACAAATATTTATAGACCTTTGTTATAATATTATTTTCATACAACCCATTTAAAACGTTAACACTAAGATGTTTTTTGGTATTTAAATTCTAATAAATAAATAAAATAATATAAAAAAATAAAATATAAATAATTACAACAAAATAAAGATAAGAGAAGGAAGGTGTAAAATATAATTACGGTACTGGCAAATTATCAAGAGACATCTTTCTCGTTGAATCTGCAATATAAAATTGAATACTTTTAGATGTGAAAATAATTAATTTATTATTGTGATTAGTGTTTGACGAACACGACTCTCCACAATGGTATGATATTGTCCACTTTGAGCATAAGCTCTCAATGGAGAGTGTATTCTTAGATTATAAACCCATTACCATTCCCTAAATTAACCAATTTGGGACACCATTTCCTACATTAACGAATTTGGGACTCTTTCATCTAACAATTAGATCATTATGACTACAGTCAAAAAAAAAAAAAATGTTGGATGTGATATTTTTTTTCTAGTTAAAGTTTATTACAAATATTTTGCAAGTTTCAATATATACCCATAGCTAATTGAGAATATTCATTATCAATATTAGGTTGATTTATGATAATGACAATTAAAAAATAAGAAGCAAATAGAAAACATTGAAATCAACGTGGCTCATAGAGTATAAAGCATGTATTGTCTGCTAAAAATCGATTAAAATGTTGTTTTAATCCATCGCCAAACATATTGTTAAACTAAAAGAATTTGACATCTCTTTTATACATAAATTCATGTATTATCTTTAAATTCTTAAATACGCCTACTGAAATTTTAGTTTGTTTGGCCACTGTTGCCATGACTCAATGGCGGCCGAGGAACACTACGGCTTAAAGAAGTTACAAATGTATCAGTTGTCGGTGGCGGTAAATAAGGAGAAAACTGGGTGGATAACGGTAGACGACAGAGCTTAATTGCACTTGTACAAAATTGTCAGAGAACAAAATTGAAACCTTACGAAATTACAAACATCCCATATTTCGATACAAAATCCTGTGTTTGAACTATGCTTAGTTTTGAATCATTATATCATGAATCACAAATTAAGAGTCATTCCAACATCTTAGAGGATGTCTTTCTGTTCAAACCCTATTGGATGTCTTAAATACGACGGCTAAAATCTTAGTTTGTTTGACCATCGCCGCCATGGCTCGGTGGCGGAGGAACACTTCAACTTAAAACAGTTATAAATGTATCAACTGTCGGTGGCTATAAAGGAGTATGAACTAGGTCGACCGTTGTGGATTGTAGAGCAAAGTGTATAAAATTGTCGAAGAAAAAAATTGAAATCTTACAAAGTTACGACCCTAGCTTATTTTTGTGGAGTTGAAATTTCCATTTTTCGGTCTCGATTCAACTTTGAACCACAAAATCCTATTATTATAAGATTATAATAATTTAATACATTATATTGATAATAATTTTCATAAAATATTGCACCAAAATAGTTCATAAAATAGAATGGCTTAAAAATCAAAAGTTCTTTTAATTTTATGTAAGAGACCTGAATTAATTATATTATAGAACTTGTTTATAATATAATATAGCATGCTGCTACTCGAATTCAAATCGTGAATTAATTATATTATAGAACTTGTTTATAATATAATATAGCATGCTGCTACTCGAATTCAAATCGAGATGCTCTAGTACAGCTTCCTAAGGAGCGTGTCTACCGATTTCACTATAATGACCTATTATTATTTACTTGTCTACCGATATTTTGTATCAATTTATTGATAAATTCATTGGTTATGGTATCACTTAGTAGTTTGTGAAGTCGTACTATAAAATATGTTTCATTAAATTTTAAAAATATCTTTAATTAAAATAAATAATTAGAGAAAAAAATGTAGGAAAATCATTTCATTTAGAAAAACAATATAGAAATAATGAATTTGCCTACAAAATAGTTGTTTGGCTTAAGTTTTTCTTTGTAAATAGCCAAAGAAACATCCATGCTTAACAATTACTCTCAAGCTTGTGTGCTACTTGGTGCAATGTTTGGGGTTTGAGCAACGCTTCCAATTGGTGCAATGTTCGGGGTTTGAGCAACGCTTCCAATTGGTGCAATGTTCGGGGTTTGAGCAACGCTTCCAATTGGTGCAATGGTCGGAGTTTGAGCAACGCTGCTTCCATCCGATGCAGCCTCTGGGGTTAGAGCAATACTACTTCCATCTGATGCAACGCTTCCAATTGGTGCAATGGTTGGGGTTTGAGCAACGCTGCTTCCAACCGATGCAGCCTCCGGGGTTAGAGCAATACTGCTTCCATCCGATGCAATGCTTCCAATTGGTGCAATGGTCGGGGTTTGAGCAACGCTGCTTCCATCCGATGCAGCCTCCGGGGTTAGAGCAATGCTGCTTCCATCCGATGCAACGCTTCCAATTGGTGCAATGGTCGGGGTTAGAGCAATGCTGCTTCCATCCGCTGCAACGTTTCCAATTGGTGCAATGGTCGGGGTTAGAGCAATGCTGCTTCCATCCGATGCAACGCTTCCAATTGTTGCAATGGTCGGGGTTAGAGCAATGCTGCTTCCATCCGATGCAACGCTTCCAATTGGTGCAATGATCGGGGTTCGAGCAATGCTGCTTTCATCCAATGAAGCCTCCGGGGTTTGAGCAATGCTGCTTTCATCCAATGAAGCCTCCGGGGTTTGAGCAACGCTGCTTCCATCCAATGAAGCCTCCGGGGTTTGAGCAACGCTGCTTCCATCCAATGAAGCCTCCGGGGTTTGAGCAACGCTGCTTCCATCCAATGAAGCCTCCGGGGTTTGAGCAACGCTGCTTCCATCCAATGAAGCCTCCGGGGTTTGAGCAACGCCGCTTCCATCCAATGAAGCCTCTGGGGTTTGAGCAACGCCGCTTCCATCCAATGAAGCCTCCGGGGTCTGAGCAACGCCGCTTCCATCCAATGAAGCCTCCGGGGTCTGAGCAACGCCGCTTCCATCCAATGAAGCCTCCGTGGTTTGAGCAACGCTGCTTTCATCAGATGCTGCAGATGCTGCCTCAGGTTGGGTGAGAGCACTTCCATCAGATGCTGCCTCCGGCGGGGTTAGAGCAACGCTGCTTCTATCAGATGCTGCCTCCGGCGGGGTTAGAGCAACGCTGCTTCCATCCGATGCTGCCTCCGGCGGGGTTAGAGCAACGCTGCTTCCATACGATGCAGCCTCCGGCGGGGTTAGAGCAACGCTGCTTCCATCCGATGAAGCCTCCGGCGTGGTTAGAGCAACGCTGCTTCCATCCGATGAAGCCTCCGGCGTGGTTAGAGCAACGCTGCTTCCATCCGATGAAGCCTCCAGCGGGGTTAGAGCAACGCTGCTTCCATCCGATGAAGCCTCCGGCGGGGTTAGATCAACGCTGCTTCCATCCGATGAAGCCTCCGGCGGGGTTAGATCAACGCTGCTTCCATCGGATGCAGCCTCCGGCGGGGTTAGAGCAATGCTTCCATCCGATGCAGCCTCCGGGGTTAGAGCAATGCTTCCATCCGATGCAGCCTCCAGGGTTAGAGCAATGCTTCCATCCAATGCAGCCTCCGGGGTTAGAGCAATGCTTCCATCTAATGCAGCCTCCGGGGTTAGAGCAATGCTTCCATCTAATGCAGCCTCCGGGGTTAGAGCAATGCTTCCATCTAATGCAGCCTCCGGGGTTAGAGCAATGCTTCCATCTAATGCAGCCTCCGGGGTTAGAGCAATGCTTCCATCTAATGCAGCCTCCGGGGTTAGAGCAATGCTTCCATCTAATGCAGCCTCCGGGGTTAGAGCAATGCTTCCATCTAATGCAGCCTCCGGGGTTAGAGCAATGCTTCCATCTAATGCAGCCTCCGGGGTTAGAGCAATGCTTCCATCTAATGCAGCCTCCGGGGTTAGAGCAATGCTTCCATCTAATGCAGCCTCCGGGGTTAGAGCAATGCTTCCATCTAATGCAGCCTCCGGGGTTAGAGCAATGCTTCCATCTAATGCAGCCTCCGGGGTTAGAGCAATGCTTCCATCTAATGCAGCCTCCGGGGTTAGAGCAATGCTTCCATCTAATGCAGCCTCCGGGGTTAGAGCAATGCTTCCATCTAATGCAGCCTCCGGGGTTAGAGCAATGCTTCCATCTAATGCAGCCTCCGGGGTTAGAGCAATGCTTCCATCTAATGCAGCCTCCGGGGTTAGAGCAATGCTTCCATCTTGTGCTTGTGTGTCATGTGATGCAAAGGCACGAAATGAAAATTGATGATCGAGATTTACGACACCAGTGACATCACTAAAAGTGGCACCCACTTTTGCACAATACTGCCAAGAAATCACTAGGAAAAGGGTATGAAAGAGCTTGAAACCTTTGCCAATGGCCATTGGGCTTGTAAGGTTACAAGCTCGTTTCACAAATGATGAAGAGCAGCAATTGCTAAGATGTTGGTGCTTGGATTTTTCTTACAATGTGAAGCCCTATATATAGTTTGATGGGAAAACTATATCTAGAAAAGACCACCAAATTTAGAAAGGGTGTTAAATTTTGTGGGTTTGGGAGTATTCCAAGTATAGAATGTTTGACTATTCAATTTCTAATTTCTCCCTCCCTTCATTTGAGGATGATTAAGAATAATTATATTTTTAAAGTTCTTTGGTTCCAATTCTAAAGTTTCTTCTCAAAACTTAAGGCACAAGTCACAATGTGATATTTTTAAGCTCCATTTCAAGCACATAGTTCATAACTATAAACACTTTGTAATTACATGCATGAATCTTTAATAGTATACTAAATAAGCGGCCCACAGCATATCATGTCAATTAGGAGTTCATAAAAATCATCAATGTTTATGAAAGATTCATTAGGGTTATTTTTCATAATTTTCTATCATAGTATTTTCTTATACCCAAACCTGTTTTAATAAATTTGAAGTCATATATAATCGTCTACAATTTTATAAATGAGTCTCATATAAAATTTCATATTATTTCAAGTTCGTTAAATACTTAGAAACATCACGAGGTCCTACGTGTATTTTTGTCTCTTTCCACTCCAATCCTGGTTTAGGATTTAAACTTGATCCAATTAGGATGAAATCTTACATAGTTTTGCATATCATTATAATTATCCATATTTAGATTCTCAAGTCATTTGGAGTCCATTTTAGGCATAAAATATCTTAAACGCATAAAAGAAGTATTTTTGTCATTATTCACCAACCTTTGTTTGGGGCCTAAACATTCTCGGGTTACTTTGAAATATTTTACAATAATTCTTAACCATAAAAATAGGTTTCATATGAGATCTTTTAAGTAATTTAACTTATATGCTTAGTACGGACATTTTTGTAATTTTATCCCTTCTAATTTTTGTAGGCACTTAACATTCTACTGCTCGTCACTTGAATGTATATAGAAAAAGGTGTAAATAATCACAAGTATAAGTGCAAGTATATACTATGTGATATGAACCAAGACACCAATCATGCAATATAAACTGTAAGGAAAATGTGAAGAAAATATTGTTCAAATTATAACAAAATGTTCAATTCATGTCACCTTAAAGAAAAATAAAACTTCATTTATTCTTGGGTAGTTACAAAATTTGGGTGGATGATAATTTAGACTTGTGGTGTTTCTTTAATGTATTTAACGTTCCATTTAAGAAAAATCTAAAGAACCGTTAGTTAAGACCCCGAAACAATCAAATAGCTGGAGATGATTAAAATAACCCTCTAAATGAACTCTACTGCTTATAAAATTTTAATACTCCATTAGGCAGTGAAACCAAGATATGGGGAAAAACATTCATCACGATAGATACGGCTTTACCTCCTAGGATGACTAACGAGGTATCCATGAAATAAGGGATTCCCCATATGTACCCTTGGTCGCTGACAAGATTCTACGTGCACAAGATCACATTGGGCGATTCCTAAGGAGAACTCTTAAGTTCCAAGCTTGACCAAAGCTTGATCCAACATGTTATAAATAATGTTGGATTTTAAGAGTTATATTTGCGCATTAGATGAGCAGGTAGCGGCTCTGAGTATGTTGAATTTAGGGTCGTTACGAATGTGATTCAATAATAAGTAAAATATTTTTTGTATTTAATTTCTAACAAAAAAAAAAAATCTCAATAATTACAACAAAATCAAGATAAAAGAAAAAGGAGATGTAAGATATAATTTATAGTAACAAACATTCCACGGACATCTTTCTCGGAACCTCAAACTTCTATCCATCTAAAATATAAATTACTTTTTAATGAATAATTTTAAATGTTAAAATAATTAATAATTAATTTCTTATTCTAATTAGATCATTATGACTCTATTTCAAGAAAAAAAACGTTGGATATAAAATTATTAGATGTGATATTTTTTTAGAGTTAAAAGTTTATTACAAATATTTAACAAGTTTCCATATATACCATATAGCTAATCGAGAATATTCATTATCAATATTATTTTGATATATGATAATGACAATAAAAAATAAGAAACAAATATAAAATATTGAAATCAACCTGGCACATCGAGTATAAAGTATGTATTGTCTGTTAATAATCGATTAAAATGTTGTTTTAATCCATCACCAAACATATTGTTAAAGTAAAAGAATTTGACATTTCTCTTATACATATATTTTCGTGTATTATCTTTAAAGTCTTAAATATGTATTGTCAGAAATTTTAGTTTGTTTGACCACTGTTGCCATGATTCGATGGCGGCGCAGGAACACTACCGCTTAAAGAAGTTACAAATGTATCAATTGTCTGTAGTGGTAAAGAAAGAGCAAACTAAGTCGCCGTTGTTGGATGATGAAAGTCCCACATCGGTTAATTTAGGGAATGGTCATGGGTTTATAATCTAAGAATACACTCTCCATTGGTATGAGGCCTTTTGGGAAGCCCAAAGCAAAGCCATGAGAGCTTATGCTCAAAGTGGACAATATCATACCATTGTGGAGAGTCGTGTTCGTTTAACATGGTATCAGAGCCATGCCCTAAACTTAGCCGTGCCAATAGATTGGCAAATCCTCAAATGTCGAACAAAGGACTCCAAAAAGGAGTCAAGCCTCCTTGAAGGTACGAAGGCAGTCAAAAATGACTAAGACTCCAAAGGAGTCAAGCCTCGATTAAGGGGAGGCGTGCTTTGTTCGAGGGGAGGTGTTGGATGATGAAAGTCCCACATCGGTCCTTTTGGGAAGCCCAAAGCAAAGCCAACATCGGTCCTTTTGGGAAGCCCAAAGCAAAGCCATGAGAGCTTATGCTCAAAGTGGACAATATCATACCATTGTGGAGAGTCGTGTTCGTCTAACGGGGAGGTGTTGGATGATGAAAGTCCCACATCGGTTCTTTTGGGAAGCCCAAAGCAAAGCCATGAGAGCTTATGCTCAAAGTGGACAATATCATACCATTGTGGAGAGTCGTGTTCGTCTAACAGCCGTAAACGGTAGAGCTTAGCCACGGCTACACAAAATTGTCAGAAATCAAAATTGAAACCTTACAAAGGAAATAGGGGAATATTTGTGGAGTTAAAATTTCCAGGAAATAGGGGAATATTTGTGGAGTTAAAATTTCCAGAAGAGTTTTAGAATATGGAATCTACTCATCCTATGGCTATATATATATATATATATTATAAAAGAGAGAGGAATGGTTTTTTAATGAAATTACAGGCAAACCAGAATGAGTTGAAATTTTATGTGGTTCACAAACATCCTATGGCTATATAGTTATTGAACTCTTTGGGAAAGACAACCTAGTTTGTTTTGGTAATGGACAAATACTACCATTATGAGAAAGAGTAGCATTATTTAGATGCAATTGATTAGCTAGAAATTTAAAACGAGAAGGAGAAGGATAACCTAGCCGTAAATGCCACAAATCAAATGACTGAGATACTTGATTTGCCGAAGACTTGATTGGAGATGAAGAAATATGATAGAGACCTCCGAATTGTTTACCCGAGCCAATCATCTTCCCCGTAGCCAAGTCCTGCATAACACAAGATTCAGGATTCGACACAAAAGTGTTTGCATGGTCTGGCCAGAATATGGGTCACTTCCTCATATTTGACCTGAGGACTACATGGATGTCACCATCATAATTTGCATGGAATTCTATTTCCCCTCCCACCCCTAATGATTGGGAGTTAGTATGGATAGAGGAGCAGTCCTAGATTAGCTTATGTGGCACAAGAATATCATGGGTATAGATAGACGAGTGACCCTAGATTAGCTTATGTGGCACAAGAATATCATGGGTGGAAACGAGTAGAGGAGTTGCCAACTAATCCCTAGTAGTGAACTAGTTGGATCTAAAATGAGGTCACACCTCGTAAATTGTGATACAATGAGGTCACACCTTGTACCGAACCCTGATAAATAGATGCACTTCAGTAAGTTGAGTGATATGATATCACGCCTAGATAAGAGCCTTTATTGGACTAGACAATGAGAAACTATGGAAAGCTAAACCAAGTAAAACATTGAAGCCTAAATCGAATTAGAACATAAGAAACCAAAGGTTTGAGCTTTTGTTTGGGTGCTAACAAGAGCTTGTTTAAGCTACCAAATAACTCCATGAATAGTAAAACAATAATTACCTAATATAGATAGGATTTTTTTAGCTTAAAACAAACTAGATTTAAAAGATAAAAACATATATAAAAAATAATAATAATAATAAAAAAATTATATTTCTTACGTCATCTAAAAAAACATAAGTTAAATTTTTAATATAAACGTGAACGAATTACCAAATGACTAAAAAACTGACAAACGTTGACACAAAGTAGAAGAGGCTATAATTTGTAGTTTTCTATAGTACATGGTCTACATCCGCTCCCAAAGTCCACCAACTACTAATGCTTACCTGAAAAAATTGTAAAAAACGACTACAAAAGTCAATAATTAGGGTATCTTGCAAGTAACATAGGTAGGTATGAATATAGTAGGACATCTTGCAAGTAACATGAGAAGGTTTCTGTAACATGGGTAGGTATCCTCCACCCAAAACAAAAATAAAAATAAAAAAATAATAGGAACATGAAACATAACATCATCCAAATAAAACATGGTTAGGATATCTTGCAAGAAACATATGTAAGGTAAACCTGCAAGAAGCATGGACACGACGTCCTACAAGAAACATGTGTAGGGCATCTAATCTTGGCAAGGAAAACATGTGATCATAATGTATTTCATGGTGGAAAGTCTAGGGTGACTTAGGTTATGGTTAGAGTAGAACCTAGTAGTCTTAGTGTCTTAAGACTTGAGTTTTGCTTTTTTTGGGACACACGTATCTTACGTGGTCCTTGACCTTAGAGCGACATCTCATGTTCGTAAGTTCTTTCGTTCTAACTCTAAGGTTTCTTCTC